TGCACTCCTTATACCACAGACCCAGGAGCATAAATTAATCTGGAATCTGAGTCCATCCTGAGCAGAACTTTGTGGCTTAATTTACCAAATTGATCTTAGAACCACTCTTTAGCTCTTCCTGAACCACAGTAGATAATGTCAGTGTTTTCTTCACATTAATCTATTTATGGTGCCTGATATCCACAAATGAGTTCTCTGATGACCTAACGTGTTTCCCCTTCTCAGACTCTCCTGCTTTGGAGGCTTTGTTCACTTGCTTAGGAGAAAAAAGAAGTATTAAAGGAAAGCAATTGAGGGGAGGGCTGAAAATTCCCATTGCTGATGAATTCCCATGTGATGGGGAAGCAGCGGCTGTTGGTGCTGAACCCCACTTTGAGAACCACGAGTTGAGATCATTTCTTTTATGTAGTTTCTGGGATGAACACACATCAAAGTTATCCTGTAGCTGTAGATCGCAGGAACAGATTCCGAGTACGACCCTGCTTTTGATGCCTGACTTCGGTACTAAATTCCGTCAAATGTTGAAACTCATATTTCTCACTGAGAGTGGCTGATGGCCACTGATTACTAACACAACAACAGCAAATTGCATCAGTGGTGTATGTATTCAACCCAAAGGAGGAGCAAGTTTTAGAGGTAACAGGGAAAACTTCCTAGATTTCACACCCTTTAAAAATAACTCTTCATGTCTGTTCCCTAACTCAACTGAATCTGGAGGATTGAATTTAAACTTGGCACAGTGGGATCTGGCCATGAAAGCATAGTTAATAAAACCAACACTCCCCACAAATTGATCTGATTCTGGTTGAATTTGACGGTGATGGGGTTTTTACAAAGTCATATTTCCCTTCAGGATACCCTGGGCCACATGCCATAGACCCAGGGCAATTTGAACTTCCTGAAGACGGGATGTACTGTGGCCCAGATTCAGGAGACTTGGTATAAGGATTTAGGTAGAGTCTTAACCTGGACATTTTCTGCCAGCAGCAATGAGTCAGTGATTTGGACCCTCTGAGAGTTCTTTATCTGCAGAATGTGGATAGGAAAACTTGCTCCAAGGCTGACTGTGAGGACTTTATAAGCTACTTACATAAAAGAACTCTGTATACAAGGCAAGCTTTTGATAGTAAGTCCTATGTAATGCTGAGTCATAGGAAATAGCCATGTTTTTTTAATACCTAGAACTTCATGCAGCAACCTAAATGGGTTAGAATTTTTTGAACTGAATTTGTGAACAGGTATCCACAAAAATATAAAGTTTTTTTTTTTTTTTTTACTGTAGGCTAATTATACATATGGCCTGGATAAGACATTCCATCTGATTAGAGATCCAAGTGATGTTTCTGGTCTGTGGGCATTCATATTAATTTCTCTTGCCTTTTTTAAACACACATATAAATACCCTGCAGTGTCTCTAAAATCCCCAGATGGAGAAAGGTGTCATCCAGCAGTGTCACATCTAAAGTGTGTATGTTTAGCATACGGTAACTGAGAAATGTATGTATGATTTACATTATATGGTTTTCAACTTTGATAAAGAAGTGTAAGTTTGAGGGACTCATACCATATGATTTTAAGACTTAAATAAAGCAATATTAATCAAAAGAATGTGGTATTAAAGACAGGATAACATATAGATCAATGGAACAGACCAGAAAGTACAGAAATTGAGCCATATATTTAAGTTAATTGATTTTCAAGAAAAGCAAACAGGTGAACGATTTAATGGAGAAAGGACAACATTTCAACAATTGGTGCTAGAACAACTGGTCCTATATGGAAATAAAAAAAGAATAATACAAAACCTTGATACGTACCTTGCATTGTAAATAAAAATTGACTCAAAATGGGTCACAGATATAAAAGTAAAATTTTAAACTATGAAACCTCTAGACGTAATACAGGAGTAAATACTTGTGTTCCATAAAACAAAGATTTCTTAGATAACATCAAAAGCATGATTCATAAAAGAAAAATTATGTATCCAGGATACATATTTTTAAACTTTCAAAATTGAATACTAAGAAAACAACCCAATTTTTTTAAATGGACAAAATATTTGAACAGAAACATCCCCCCCAAAATGCACAAATGGCAAATAAACACATGAAAAGATACTTAACATTATTCCCTGGATAAATACAAGTTACAGTGAGAAATCACTGCGCACTGACTAGAAAGGCTAAAATTAAAAGCCAGAAATACAATCCAATGATACCAAGTGTTGGCAAGAATGTAGAACTGGTGGAAATTTCATTGTTGGTGGTGGGAGTACAAAACGGAACAGCCACCTGAAAAAGCATTTGGCCTTTTCTTATAAAAATAAACACACACTTAGCATATGACCCAGCAATCACACTCGTAAGCATTTACCCAAGTGAAATAAAAAATTATGTCTACACAAAAATCTGTTTATGAATGATCAGAGCATCTTATGTATAATTGCTCAAGACTGGAAACAACCCAAATGTCTCTCAGCTGGGTAGTGAATAAAAAAGTGTGAAAGATCAATACAATGGGATACTGTTTAACAACAAAGTGTAAACTACTGATATACACCTATGGATGAATCTCAGATACATTAAGGTAAATGGAAGCTGCTGTTGTTTAGTTGTTAAATCATGGCCAACTTTTTTGCAACTCTGTGGACGGTAACCCACCAGTCTCTTCTGTCCCTGGGATTTCCCAGGCAAGAATCCTGGAGTGGGTTGACATTTCCTTCTCCAGGGGATCTTTCTGACCCAGGGATGGAATGGAATCCTCGTCTCCTGCAATCGGCGGGTAGATTCTTTACCACTGAGCCACCAGGGAAGCCAGGTCTCAGACCGGAAAGTCTGCCTACTACATTATTCCATTTACATGACACTCTTGAAAAGACAAAACAACAGAGACAGAAAATAGAGCGGGGATTGCCAAGGGATGAATGTGGGGACAGTTTCCCACAAAGAGACCACACATGGAGAATTTTTTTAGAATGATAAAACTATTCCATCCTTTTATCATAAAGATGCCTATATAACTGCATATTTTGTCAAATCTTACAGAAGTATAAATTATGCTTCATTGAGAAATGAAGAAAAACAGTGCATCACTCTATTTTTAAATGTAAGATTACATTAATTATTGAACATGACCTAAAAGTATACATTTTCTTTTTCACCCTCTTCTGGGATGATAACACAGTCTAGTATGAATGGGTAGGGGCATTGAACTGGATGGAGAATTGGTTTCAGTGATAAGGGCATCTCTCCGTGCCTTCCTGTAACAGTTTTTTGTAAACCATACAGTTCTGGGATAAATTCAGTTCAGTTCAGTCGCTCAAGCATGGCCAACTCTTTGTGACCCCATGAATCCCAGTATGCCAGGCTTCCCTGTCCATCACCAACTCCTGGAGTCCACCCAAACCCATGTCCATCGAGTCGGTGATGCCATCCAACCATCCCATCCTCTGTCATCCCCTTCTCCTGCCCTCAGTCTTGCCCAGCATCAGGGTCTTTTCAAATGAGTCAGCTCTTCGCATCAGGTGGCCAAAGTATTGGAGTTTCAGCTTCAACATCAGTCCTTTCAATGAACACCCAGGACTGATCTCCTTTAGGATGGACTGGTGGGATAAATTAGGGGATATGAATTCGTTCCTGGCCCTCACCCTCCAATCCAGAACTGAAGACCAGGCTATGCAATGTCCAGCAGGCAGCAAAGGAACTCAGAAAGCACACTTGTGCCCTAACTTGGAGGTGGGCTGAGACCCTGGCCGCTGACTGCTTAGAATTCCAGGAGACGGTATTCCAGGAGAATATTCCAGTATTCCAGAATTCCAGGAGACAGGTGCCCCACCCAGGTAGATGCCCTAGTGAGGTAGGCCTTAATGGCACATATCTGTTTTGAAGCTATTTCAGGGCTGAGAAATAGGGAAGTGATGGAAATAATGATATTAATAATTACTGGCATTAATTGAGCACTTATTTCCCTGTGCTTTATGCACGTGACTTTATCTCATCCTCAGGGATAATCTAGGACATGGATGTGAGTATCATCTGCACCTCATAAATAAGGAAAACAGGTCATCGAGAAGTGAAGTATGTGTCAAATCACACGCTTCATACCTGGTGGGGCCGATACTCAGACCTGAGCTCTGAATCCCGCCCTCTTAACCAAGGGAGAAGAAATAAGAAAATCACTTTGTCTTTTCATTTTGTAAACAATTTTAAAGCGTCCTTGGAGGTGCCCGGGAAGCCAGTGCAGGCAGCTCTGATGGTTCCCAGCCCTTCCTGTTAACGTCATGTAGATGCGCGTACAGACTTTGGTTTAAAACCACTGCCTCGCCCCCTCCTCTGTGTTACTGTTCCTCCAAGTGGTGGACCAGGCCGGGGGGCGCACCAGCTCCCCTCCTCTCACAAGCCCACTATTTAGCAGGCAACCGTGTTACCAAAGAGAACTGCACCTTAGCTAAAGGTGTGGAAGCAAGAGGTGGGGGAGGCTCTCCCAATGCGTGTGGGGATACACCGTATAGAGCTGGCCGGAGGCGAGGGTTCGCTCTCTGAAGTCAGGTCTTGGGGATCCTTGGGATACACAAGGCCCCCCGAGCCGCCCTCCAGGGGGCTGCCGCGCTTGGGCGGGCCAGAACGCGGGCTGAGCAGGGCTTCCGTGCTGGGTCTCCCACACGGGTGCTTTGCAGCAGCAGCTACGACCCAGCGAGATGGAAAGAGGGGTGTGGGTCGGTCACAACGGCCCGCTGAAAGGGAGCTGCGGGCCCGCTCCCAGGGCTCAGAGCGCGGCTTGCTCCCCGCCGTCCTTAGGGGCCCACGGTGGACACCGAGTGTCCCACAGGCCTTCCCAGGAGGCCAGGGGGTTAGCATGAATGCTGACGGGCGACGGGCTTGCTCACACATCCCAAGAGGACACGTGTCCGGAAAAGGGGCAAAGAGGAAAGCAATATTTCGGGAAAAACAAAAACCCCTCATCCTCCAAGTGTGCAAAGCACCATCCGCACCGATGAACGAATGAACCACAAGAACACGTCGTGCGTGGCTTTGCTGCAGGCAGTTCTGTCGAGACCCAGAGCCGCGCCGGGGCCCGCGGTGTGGCGCTGCCTCTTCCAGGTACAGCTTCAATGATTTTTATCTCAGCTTGGAACACAATGTGTGTGCTGATACTAATACTGATAAAAGCAGAAAGCCTGGCGCCATCTGCCATGGCAACGATCAAGATGGCAGATGCTTTTCATCAGCTTTATCTGAACTTTGCATTAATGGGAATTCAGAGACTGTGGGTGCGTTTTCAAAAAAAAAAAAAAAAAAAAGGACATTAAAATGATAGCACTCCTCTGAATAGAAGCAATTCATCAAATATCAACCTAGTCTTATCTCCTTTCTCTCTCTTGTTAAAAAAAAGGGAAAAAGAATCTCGCTCTGCTTCTGCTTGTTGTCATTTCCTAAGTTTACACCTATGTAGGTGCCACTGCAGTGGTCCCAGAGCTTGACCCAGAGCCCTCTGATCGCAGGGAATTAGATACAGAGAGAGCTGTCCCCTCCTAGCAGGCCTGCAGCTGCTATAGCAAATAGGATTTAAATGAGCAGTGTCTGAGGGCAGGGCAAACCCCGAAATACTGGGTGAGTGTTCAGAGCCTACTGTGAGTCATAACAGAGGTGTTTTTCAAATTAAAAAAAAAAAAAAAACGAAGAGATAAAAAAGAAATCAGATTCCAATAAGACTGTCCAGAACTTGAAGTTTATAGACAGACAGATGGCTAGCTATTGAACATGAATATATATTGAAGTTTATGATTTATAACAGCTATACCTCTCTGCTATTCATTAGCTACAGTAGAATAGGATGATTGGCTGCATCCAGGAAAGGTGTGAATTACTTTCAGCCCACGACTTCAGTGACATTGGCTAGGAAAGCACATAGGATGTGATGGTAACTGCACTGGATATACTGTGCAGTTCTGCTTCTCGGGTTTATTATATATTATATTCCACATGGCATTTTCTTTTCCTTTTGGCTTGTTAATTAGGTCCATATTTTTATATATCTGTTTATAAATGGTATTGATTTGAGGGTGTTTACTCAGGCTTTTCCTATAAGTAGGACATGGGATTTCATACATATAAGTAGATATGTTTCATGTTATTTCTCTCTCTAGTTTTTCTTTCTCTGCTTTATGTGTGTATATGTCTTATGTACACATAAACCATGGGGATCAAAATAGAAATAATAAAACCTGGAGATAAATCTATGTAATTCTATGCATAGAAATAGATATGTGTATAAACATAAATACATACACACCCAATACTGACCACTGTACACACACATTCTCACAGACAGCCTACTAATAAAAGCAGCGTGTCAGTTAGAGAGCAACGAACACATGAGGGACATATACAAACATTTCAAGTGAAAAAATCTTTATAATGGCACAAATGACTACCAGGAATTGGAGAGAGCCCTTTGAAAAGATTTTTTTTTCACCCTGATAAGGAAAAAGGAGGGAAATCAAAACCAGAGAGGATGATTAGGAAAAAAAAAAACAGAAAAGAAAAAAACCATTGAAGAGCTCTTTTATGAAACTTGAGCTGGACCACTGGCCTCGTGTGGTTCAGGGCCTGGGGAACGGGCTGCACAGCACATGGCAAGCCTGCCTCATTGGGCAGAGGGGTCCAGCTTCCAGCAGCCGCACACAGGGGGCTCTGTGAGAGACCGCATCTTCTGATCATGACCAGGCTGCTGGTGGGTTTTCCCCCTAACATGATCACAGGAACACTTCCCCCTCGGAACCTCTGCATACAGGGTTCATTCTCAGATGTGTTTCCAATTCCTCATTTATTTTTATTTTTATTTTATTTTTTTTCATTTATTTTTATTGGTTGGAGGCTAATTACTTTACATCATTGCAGTGGTTTTTGTCATACATTGAAATGAATCAGCCATGGATTTACATGTATTCCCCATCCCGGTCCCCCCTCCCACCTCCCTCTCCACCCGATCCCTCTGGGTCTTCCCAGTGCACCAGGCCCGAGCACTTGTCTCATGCACCCAACCTGGGCTGGTGATCTGTTTCACCCTAGATAATATACATGTTTTGATGCTGTTCTCTTGAAACATCCCACCCTCGCCTTCTCCCAGAGTCCACAAGTCTGTTCTATACATCTGAGTCTTTTTTTCTGCTTGCATATAGGGTTATCGTTACCATCTTTCTAAATTCCATATATATGTGTTAGTATACTGTAATGGTCTTTATCTTTCTGGCTTACTTCACTCTGTATAATGGGCTCCAGTTTCATCCATCTCATTAGAACTGATTCAAATGAATTCTTTTTAAAGGCTGAGTAATATTCCATGGTGTATATGTACCACAGCTTCCTCATCCATTCATCTGCTGATGGGCATCTAGGTTGCTTCCATGTCCTGGCTATTATAAACAGTGCTGCGATGAACATTGGGGTGTACATGTCTCTTTCAGATCTGGTTTCCTTGGTGTGTATGCCCAGAAGTGGGATTGCTGGGTCATATGGCAGTTCTATTTCCAGCTTTTTAAGAAATCTCCACACTGTTTTCCATAGTGGCTGTACTAATTTGCATTCCCACCAACAGTGTAAGAGGGTTCCCTTTTCTCCACACCCTCTCCAGCATTTATTGCTTGTAGACTTTTGGATAGCAGCCATCCTGACTGGCGTATAATGGTACCTCATTGTGGTTTTGATTTGCATTTCTCTGATAATGAGTGATGTTGAGCATCTTTTCATGTGTTTGTTAGCCATCTGTATGTCTTCCTTGGAGAAATGTCTGTTCAGTTCTTTGGCCCATTTTTTGATTGGGTCATTTATTTTTCTGGAGTTGAGCTGGAGGAGTTGCTTGTATATTTTTGAGATTAATCCTTTGTCTGTTGCTTCGTTTGCTATTATTTTCTCCCAATCTGAGGGCTGTCTTTTCACCTTGCTTATAGTTTCCTTTGTTGTGCAAAAGCTTTTAAGTTTCATTAGGTCCCATTTGTTTATTTTTGCTTTTATTTCTAAAATTCTGGGATGTGGGTCATAGAGGATCCTGCTGTGATTTATGTCGGAGAGTGTTTTGCCTATGTTCTCCTCTAGGAGTTTTATAGTTTCTGGTCTTACATTTAGATCTTTAATCCATTTTGAGTTTATTTTTGTGTATGGTGTTAGAAAGTGTTCTAGTTTCATTCTTTTACAGGTGGTTGACCAGTTTTCCCAGCACCACTTGTTAAAGAGGTTGTCTTTTTTCCATTGTATATCCTTGCCTCCTTTGTCGAAGATAAGGTGACCATAGGTTCGTGGATTTATCTCTGGGCTTTCTATTCTGTTCCATTGATCTATATTTCTGTCTTTGTGCCAGTACCATACTGTCTTGATGACTGTGGCTTTGTAGTATAGTCTGAAGTCAGGCAGGTTGATTCCTCCAGTTCCATTCTTCTTTCTCAGGATTACTTTGGCTATTCAAGGTTTTTTGTATTTCCATACAAATTGTGAAATTATTTTTTCTAGTTCTGTGAAAAATACCGTTGGTAGTTTGATAGGGATTGCATTGAATCTATAGATTGCTTTGGGTAGTATAGCCATTTTGACAATATTGATTCTTCCAATCCATGAACACGATATGTTTCTCCATCTGTTTGTGTCCTCTTTGATTTCTTTCATCAGTGTTTTATAGTTTTCTATGTATAGGTCTTTTGTTTCTTTAGGTAGATATACTCCTAAGTATTTTATTCTTTTTGTTGCAATGGTGAATGGTATTGTTTCCTTAATTTCTCTGTTTTCTCATTGTTAGTGTATAGGAATGCAAGAGATTCCTGTGTGTTAATTTTATATCCTGCAACTTTACTGTATTCGTTGATTAGCTCTAGTAATTTTCTGGTAGAGTCTTTAGGGTTTTCTATGTAGAGGATCATGTCATCTGCAAACAGAGAGAGTTTCACTTCTTCTTTTCCTATCTGGATTCCTTTAACTTCTTTTTCTGCCCTGATTGCTATGGCCAACACTTCCAAAACTATGTTGAATAGTAGTGGTGAGAGTGGGCACCCTTGTCTTGTTCCTGATTTCAGGGGAAATGCTTTCAATTTTTCACCATTGAGGGAGTGTGGTGATTACTCTCCCACTTTTGACTCTCTGTTTTCTACCTCGGAACACCTCTATTTCCTCCTTTCCCCTTCTCTTCCCAATCCAACTCTGTGAATCTTTGTGGGTGTCTGGGCTACGGAGAACACTTTGGGAACAGAGAACTGCGTAGATCTGTCTCTCTCCTCTTGAGTCCCCCTTTTCTCCTCCTGCTCACCTCTATCTCCTTCCTCCCTCTCCTATTCTTCATGTAACTCTGTGAACCTCTCTGGTTGTCTCTCACGGTGGAGAATCTTTTTCACCATTAACCTAGAAGTTTTATTATCAGTGCTGTATAGTTGGAGAAGTCTTGAGACTATTGGAAGAATAAAACTGAAATCCAGAGGCAGGAGACTTAAGCCCAAATCTTGAGAAAACCAGAAAACTCCTGACTACACGGAACATTAAGGAATAAGAGACCATCCAAAAGCTTCCATACCTACACCAAAACCAACCACCACCCAAGAGCCAATAAGCTCCAGTACAAGACATACAACGCAAATTCTTTAGCAACGCAGGAACATAGACCTGAGTGTCAACATACAGGCTCTCCAAAGTCACACCTAACACATAGACCCATCGCAAAACTCATTACTGGACACTCCATTGCGCTCCAGAGAGAAGAAATCCAATTCCATGCACCAGAACGCTGACACAAGCTTCCCTAACCAGGAAACCTTGACAAACCAATCGTCCAACCCCACCCACTGGGTGAAACCTCCACAATAAAAAGGAACCTCAGACCACAAGAATACAGAAAGCCCACTCCAGACACAGCAATCTAAACAAGATGAAAAGGCAGAGAAATACCCAACAGCTAAAGGAACATGAAAAAAGCCCACCAAGTCAAACAAAAGAGGAGGAAATAGGGAATCTACCTGAAAAAGAATTTAGAATAATGATAATAAAAATGATCCAAAATCTTGAAAACAAAATGGAGTTACAAATAAATAGCCTGGAGACAAAGATTGAGAAGATGCAGGAAA